ACTCCGAAGTTAGCATAAACAATAATTGAACAACATTGGAGTGTACCTCTGGAATTAGGGAGGGCACCATAGACCTTTATTTTCAAGCTCTTAGAGTTCTAGATGACATGTCGAGGAAAATTTTCTCTCCCAAGAGATGAAGATGTGGGTACGGTGGTGAAACAAGCAGTGATATTCTACTGTATTAAGCAGGATAGATGGCCACAGTTAGGGGAATGCTGTACCAGAAATTGATCTTAACCACACTTTCACCAAGGAAGAAACATTTGTCTCTAAAGTCAATAAAAATACCTCATCAACAGAACTTCCCTTTTCTTATTTTATCACGCCTTTAAAACTAAAGTTTATCCTCAGTAGGGTAGGCAGATATATGCATTTTGGGGGGGGGGTTTGGTGAAGTTTGATGAAAGAAGAAAAAAGGTAAAAAGGCAAACCAGTAATAACACTTTTGGGGCCTGACTGGTTACATTGAACGCTGCACCACACAGGCCCAAAGACACTGGGAGTGAAGGCAACAGTATCCAGAGCGAAGACAATCAAACTTCAGAATATCATAGGTCTGTCATTGCTTTGAAAATTGCCAGGAAGAGAAAGCTCCAGGCTGCCGTCCTTTAGGAAGACAGCATTCAAATGCAGGAACAGGGAGGGAACTGGTGACTGTTTGGTCAAGAGCAGGTTCAACACAGGCACATGCAATGAAGGGCCAGAATTCATTACACACGAAGTTGAAACAATTTTCCATACCAAAGAAAAACATAGTTAAAAATAGGAAGGAGGAAATATATTAGGCAGACAGTTTGAGTAACAGAAACTCCCAAGACTTGATTTACATGGTGTATACTATAAATAATATTTTGTTTAACACACTTTTCCACCTACTCTTGCAAAAAGAGTTACTTGTATATACAATCTTAAACTTTACAATGACCATGTCTTCCCAGTTTTAGGCTTTACAGCAAGATAAGCACATACAGGCACTCAGAGCTTTGAAAATAATCACGCTATAGATAATGTAGCCTGTTAGTTATTAATAAGTTACATGAAGTCCTGGCAATAGAAATGAGAACAAGAAAAATGAGACAGGTTAGCAGGAGTTCATAAGCTGGGACCTTTTAGAAGCACTAATATTAAAATAAGCTCCATCACAATTAAAAATGAGCTGGCTCTGCTTGATGTCCCTAGGGTGAGGTAATTGGATATTAATAACAAGATAACAAAAGGGGACCTCCAATCTATGATAATGGTCCCGTATCTGGAATTTCAGTTCATATATGGGTTCCCATCTGCAGGTGCTTCAAGATGTCCATTAAGAAGACTACTTGCAAGTTTTCCAGGAGTTAAGTAAGCCTTTGTCTCAAAAGGATAACCACCTCTGTGATATCAGTAACAGCATACTTACTTCATCTCTCATTTAGAGCTCCTAAGTGATAAAGGTTTCATTCAACCAGAAATATAATTTATTATAAATTCTACTGTATTCCTTATACTTGCTGTATATTTTCTTGACTTGCTATAACTCATTAGAGGTGCACTGCTGAAAGACAAGAGACAACGGCTGCAAGTTGTACCAAGGAAAATTTGGTCCGGACAGAAGGAAAAATTTCTTCCCCCTGAGAGAAGTGCACTCTGGAAAGAGTGCCCAGAGAAGCTGTGTGATCTCCATCCTTAGAGATTTCAAGACTCATGAGCAATTTGATCTGGCTTTCAAGCCAGCCCTGTTTTGAGCAGAGGGCAGGTCTAAGGACAACCTATTAATTCTAGAATCACGTTGTTAAAACTTTAATTAGCATACTATAACATTTATTAAAAAATCATAAAACATGTTTTCTTTATGCAGGTTCATAAAACTCCTAGGAAGTGTCCTCCCTGTCTCTGGATCAAGAGTAGTATTACCCTTTAGGAAACTAACAAATGCATTAACTTCAAAAATTGCTAAAATCTGGGTTTGAAGTCATCTTCATTTGAGAAAAGATCATCAAAATAGAAAAAAAATCACCAAACCACAGATGTTTATAAAATCTTTTACATTACATTACAAGGATTGAGAGGAATTACTGTTGATAATCTCACTCCTACAAGAAAGCTACAGCAGAGAAACTCCTCTCTAGTAGAAAACAATACTTAAATTAGGATAAGAAAACAAGTGTATTATAACAGACAAACCTCTAGAGCCCTGCATGTCCTAGAACTGCAACTTTGATCCTCTACTCAACATATCACTTATGCTTCCCAGGTCTAAAGGTGGCTGAAAAAGGAGGTAAACCATTTTCAGAACTTCTAGCTTAAGACATCTGTAGCAAATAAATCGTTATTTCCCTCTCAAAAAATGTTTAGCATCCTCTTCATCTGAGTTGAAAATAGACATATATGAAAGGCAAAAACTAAATTCATACGGCTATATTTAGACATTCATATGCTTTTGAAAATAAAGGACTGTGTTAGCCAGGTCTTGTATTAAGCAATGTTATTTGATATCTGGATGTGCACTGAGAGACAGGATGTTATAAACATTTTTAAAATCAACCCTCACTTCACACTGTACTGTCTGCATGATCTGCACTACATATTCCTTCAAAGTTTTTGACTGAAATTGTTTTGCTGTAGAATAGAAATACATAACACCCACCATTTGCTCATTTGGTGTAACCCTCCTCACTAACAACTGCATTTCCTAATTTACAAAATACTAGCTTTTCCCTATAGCCGAAAGAGGTGCATAAAGATAGAATACTTTTACAGATTAAGACAGAGGGGTGAATGGAACTGTCAGCAGATATCGCAATGGTCCTTTATTTGGTTTTATGTTATTAAGAACTTGAAAATATTATAACACTGTCTCTGCAGTCAGCATTCCCTCAGGATATCAGCACCTTAGAGAAGATCTCAGAGAATCTCCAGTCTGTGCCAAGAGTGAGCATGACAAATAAGTGGTTCCTAGCTTTGGTGTACAGTCATATGGAAACTGGTAACAACCGTATGGCCAGAAGCAAGGTACTGACACACCGGGAATGATTTATAATAATTCTACAGTACCATATCCAGTCTTCCAGCATAATAGGAATAGGAATAGTTAAAAAGTTTTACACTGCAAGCTGTATTAAAAATTAGACTTAAAAGTCTAATTAATCTGGGGATGTGTATATTATTTAAGCAACATACTTCAACAGAGTTAATGTATTTGAAACATCAGTCAGAACAGGTTTTGAGTATAATGCTGCTGCTTCTATCCATAAAAGCCTGAGTATAAACTTGTTAAGTTACACAGTGCTCCCATAACCAGAAAAATGTTGGGTATAGTCTAATCAATCTAAGAAAGAAGGATCACAGTAAATTCTCAAAATCCACAAAGTGTGGCTGGGGTTTGCCAAGGGAATAAGCATCCACACTGAGAATGAGCAAAAATCCCTGCCACAGTACAGAAGTGCAAAAGCCTATTTCAGTTGCAGAAAGAAAAGGGTGGTAATTCTTCAGGTATATATATTCTAAAGCTCCAACATTACCCACAAAATAAAAACCACATTTATTTTAGTGGTAACAGTAAAGCTTGCAGTCAAGTAAAGTATGGAAGATAAAAGCAAGAAAAATCAGCTCTGAGAACAGAGAATCAATTGCACATGTCTGGTCCTTCTTTCTCACAGAAGTTTAAACCACAGAGTTTCTATGAAATTATATCAGTATAGTGAAACATCATAATGGAGACTGCAAAATACAAATAAAGATGGAGTGTAAGCAGATGTACCTCTATTTTTAATTCAGCTGAGCTCTCAGGTTCCTCTAGCCAGTCACAGTCTAACTTAATATTTGTAATATTTACTAACAACATACCAGGTGTTGTAATCTTATTCTGAGTTTACCTACTTCATACGTGGCCTGAAATAACTGGTATTCAAAAAGTGTATAAAACCTGCACAAAACCGTTACAGGCAAAACCCAAGAAATTTCAAAGCCTTGCAGAACCTCAGTAAGATTTGATGGTCTCACAGTCATCTGCCGATTTGAAACATCTCACTCCCAATAAAGAACAATTCCGCTCATGTTGCGAGTTAGTAGTTAAGTCTCTGAAAATCTCTATGCAGTATTTAAACTTTAACTCAAAATATAATAAATATATGTGACAAAGATTATTGATTATCCATATTACTAAGACCAGCTTTTGCAGATTGTATAATAAAACCTAATTGTAGTTTGATTGTTTGAAAAATAAATACTAACAAATGTCATCTTTCTTATGTATACTAATTATCCAGAAACAGATTTTTGTGTTATTTTTTCCTTACTGTTTTGTTAATATCACAGTTCATTTATTCCTAGACAGATATCTTATGTAAAAATATTTCAAGTCAGCAGTTTTCACAAACATTTCCTTTTCTTTACTCAGTATTTATACTATACAACAAAAATTGGTTTTTTTAGGTTTAGCTTTCACGTAGACACATTATGGAAATTCCTTAAAAAACATGGTTGTTTTGTTTTGTTTTGTTTTATTTCAAGCCCAGCTTCTTCTATGTTTGTCATGTCAAAATTCAAAATATACAAAAAACACTGAGAACACACGGATGTGTTCAGATGAATAAAACTTGTAAAATCAGGAGTAAAAAATCAAATCAATTTCAAAACTGTCAAATATTTTCATAGTGATTCATGATATGAACACCAGCTTCTGATTATTCAATAGATTTTATGACCATACCCTCCACTACAAATTCATCAATGCAAATGGAAATTCCTCTTTCTGGAAAGAATTAATCCTTTTCAAAAAAAACTCTGAAGTATGGCATTCTTCCAGGAATAAACACTACACAAAAACAAAAGTACACTATTGTTCAGTGTATTTTTGTTGCAGTAAACTATCATGAGAGCAACAGAAAAGCAGTAAGAGAATAATTTTTAATGCCATGATCAATCCAAGATTTCATTTACTGAAGTAACTGGAAGGAACTTAATTATTCAGCAGCAGCTAAGAACCATGTCCCTTAGTGTTTTATACAAGTCCATATTACCTTATGAGGTCAATAGGCTGAAACTTGTAAAATACTCCATATCTTGCCCATTCTCGATACAGCAACTAAATTAAAAAAGCAAACAAACAAACAGAAAATTAACTTGAAACAAGTGCTCCCTTCTGTTTTTACAAACATCTTCTAACAATTAAAAATATAAGTACCAAAAAAATAAGTTTCCCATACTTCAATACAAACCTCCAAGTATATTTTTCAGACAGTTATGGAAGACTCCAACCAAGCCAGCAATGTGAGGACAGTATGCACACATATTTCTCCACATACCTACACACTCCCCACCACATTTATTAGATAGTGAAAAACAGAAGATGCTGTAGTCTTGTGGAAATCTTTGGAAAGATGCTAGAAATAATCCTGCTTACAGCATGAAATTCTTCTATGATGAAATCCATTCAATGTCTGGAATCACACCATAGATAGGTACTAATGAGTGTTTTCAGGTGCAAGATGAAGTGAACTGAGGTAAGAGTTTAAAACTGCTAAACTGGTATGTAAAAACATACCAAGAGGTATAAATGTGTCAAAACTAGTCTGCTCTCCACCTCAGCTCCTCAGGCTACTACACCCACCAGATCCCATATAAAAGTTCTTTCTCTTCCCATGTTGCACACGGACACACAAGTTCACATGTTTACTGTTGGAAGTGGAAATTCACCCACAGCTTACAGACAGCTCAAAGGAAGGCATAGATCCTACATAAGCTTCTTACAATGGGAGGAATCCAGTGGGATCAGAGTCAGGGATAAAAGGAAACATTTCAGGACCTGTGGTATATTAAGCACAACACACTCAACGGCAATAGGCAAGGGACTTCGGATAGTCTTCCTCATTCCTTCTTTCATGGCTGTGATCTATGTGACAGCTTTGTTGAGCTTTCAAAAAGAAAAAAGAAACCTGTGGCACTCTTTTACAAGAGGCTGTAAAGGAAACTTGTAATTACGGTGTGAAACACATCACACTGTTCTGAAACAAGAGTCAGCTGCTGGATAAAAATTACCATGCAATTTACAATTTGGTGAAAGAGTTAATTTGATAATATTTTATAACTGTGTATGAATTTATTCATAATCCAGAAAGGACATTCAAAAACGAAGCTTTCCAGAATTACATGAAGACCAAAGGAAGTTCAGAGGCCATGTCAGCATGATCATTTGTTAGATGACTGTTCACCATGTTTCATCATCTGAGGAAAACAGAAATCAGGGTCGTCCCATGCAAAAAAGATTTCCTTTGGAACAACCTGAGTTCATATTCTTTTCAGAGTTTTACACTACAAAAGGACTGCAGACTGTCTAAAACAACATGCTCGTTGAAAACTATTTCTTTAAGTAAAGACTGTATCAAAAAATAATAAATAAAAAACCCAGGATATGTTGATAAATGAAAGTAAATTAACCACATCACTCTTTATTGATGATAAATCTGTAACATCCAAAAAGACAGGTGTCAAGCCTTTTGTCCTTCTTTTCAAAAAAGAAGCGGAGGGGGTCCAGAAAAAGAGTAGCATATGAGAGGTGAGGTCACCTCCTTTAAAATAAGGCACACCATCATTCCTAGTAAAACTGAAGTAGTGATGAAATTGTTTTGAAGATAAGCTTCTGTGTGGAATATCTTCTGTCTTCCAGAGACAACCTCATACTTCAGTTCCTTCCTCGCTGTGAGCACTAGCTGACTGTCCCTCGCCAGTCTCATAGAAAATGTAGTTAATGTGAAGCAACATAATTGCTGAGTTAATACCTTGGAGACCTGTTCTTCTCTAAACTTGGTCTGGGACTGGACAACAAGTTTTAAAGCTGCTGGGGAGGAAGACACAAACCAAAACACACATGCACATGAACACAGAACCAGGTACATACAGAGGATACTCTGCAGAGAAGTTAAATTAAATATATGTTCAATTTTTTTTTTTATTTTCACAGGAAAAAAAAAAAAACAGTAATTTTGAGACAGTAAGGTATAGATTTTTTCCAAAATGCGTAGTATGTGGAACTCATCAGCTTATTTGCAGACTAGATTGCAAACTGTTCAGTTCTGTCTGCAAAACAGATGCTCATTAAGCATGGTGCTTTTTTCCCAGTAAATAATAGATTATTGCACAATGGAGTTATGTAAGTATGCAAGAGCTGAAGAGGATGTTAGTAACAAAGCACATACAGTTTTTTGCAATTATCAGTAGTTGCATCTGTCAGATGGTCCATTTCGACAGCTAGCAGCATGCTACACCATCTTATGAAGTTAACAGCACAATTTAAATAAGTGTGGAGAAATTTCAGATATTCAAACTCCAGAATTATCTTGACACTCCTTGAGGTTTTCCAATCACATTCTTACATGGTTTATAATGCCCTCCTCCTGCAGATGCTATGTGAAAGAACTAAATAAACATCAAGTGAGCAATTAAGTCCTGGATCCTGCGAAGATGCACCCTATCAAGTATTATTGTTTGGAATATGAAAACTGGCTTGCAACCATTCAAGTGAACAGAGCTATGCTATTGCATACTCATTAGAGATACAGCATAGAGTACTTTCTGTTCATAGATCAAGGAGTAAACCCTACACTGCTGAAACAATCTGGGATTCGGCAATGAGATTCAAGGAGTGTGGAGTCCTTGGCTTTCAGAATATTGCTCTTACAGAGCACAGTCTTGCAAAATGCTTTGCACTTGTAGAAAGAAATTTTGAGACTAGGTTTGATTTTCTTTGGCTTCAACAGGAGTTAAAGAGGACTGCCCTGGCTGCCATGTTGGTATTATCACATGAATACTTGTGGTTACCTGTTCAAAATCACCCCTTACCATTACCCCACAGCATCACCTACAATGGTATTTATTTCCATAAACAATCATACTAGTAAATGCATTCACTGAAATATACAAAACAAGAAAGTTAAAGCTATTAAATTCTTAAAACGACTTAAAAGCTGTTTTGAACACAGATACAGAATGGAATTTGAAGAGTAAAAAGAAAGGTTTACCTAAATTAGCAATCAGTTCAGGAACAGGTTGCTATGGCATTATGTCAGACTACAGAATCACACTGGTTATTCTGATTCCAAAAGCCATAGCACTGAAGGTGAGTTTATGGTATGAATATTTTCCATTCACATGTGTTGCTGACACTAAACTTTAGTCTCAACACTGCAATTTTACAAGATTAAGCTTAATCTGGAAGCTGGAACGTGCTTCCCAAGCAACAAGTGACAGGGCAAGAGGCAATGGCCTCAAGTTGCACCAGGCGAGGTTTAGATTGGACATTGGGAAAGATTTCTTTACTGAAAGAGTGGTCAAACATTGGAACAGGTTGCCCAGGGAAGTGGTCAAGTCACCGTCCCTGAAGGTGTTCAAAAAACGTGTAGATGTGGCATTCCAGGACATTATTTAGTGGGCATGGTGGTATTAGGTCAACAGTTGGACTTGATGATTTCAGAGGTCTATTCCAACCTAATGATTCTATGATTCTATTATATTTATTAAATTGAAAGGAATTCTAGGAAGAGTTTTGTAATATAGTTTATGGTATTTTATCAGCTTCTTTTAAAAGCAGTACTTTCTGTGAGTTTATAACACTTTTCAATCTGCTGCTAATATTCTAGGGATGCTGTTCTAGTATACGACAATGGTGTACTTCCCAGATAGGTAACAAAGTCCTCATGTATTTCTCAATGTCAAACATATTTCTAGCAATGAAGGGTTACAAGTTGCCAGTGGGCTAGAAGCTTAAAGCAGACCAAGTCAGTGTTTATACTCATGGTGAGTTATTAACACGCTGCTGTGCAATAGCTTTCTTAAAAGATTTTTTTCTAGAGCAGAAATCACACTAAAACAGGGAAATACCTTTACTCCATCAACAGTCTTAGGAAAAGAGTGGGTTTCATTGACTTCAGATTTCTAATTCTCATAGGATGTGACAAAAATATTGTGCATTTTCTCCAAAGAAAGCCTGAAGAGGGTTAATAAGGATTAACCTTTCGTATTATGAACTGGTACATAAACCTTAATTACTTGTGCTGCCTTATTGGCATAAGTGCCCCAGACAGGTTCAGTTCATCATTTTTTGGACTCATACAATAGACAATTGAAACTGAAGATACAGATAAGTTAAAATAGACAAAATAAAAAAGAACAGAGAAAAAAAAAAGCTCAAAAAATGCCCCCTCTTTCCTTTAAACCTGATCGGGGCTTTTCAGGAAATTAAACACTGAGACTATTAGATTCAGATAGAAAACAGATGATGTTACACATAGAAATACAACAGCAGATTCAATGGTTAGGCAGCAGAGACATATGTGAATAATCAACCAAGTATTTCTGGAAAGACGCTTTTATGTTTTTAATACTTAACACTTCATAACTGAGCCTAATAGGCAGAATAAAAAGAAGGCAGCACAAAATACAACTAGTAGGATGAATATTTTTCCAGACACTAGTCCTTTTAGGCCCTCTTCACCCCTATTTCACAGTACCCAATCTTCCTCCATTGACTAATTTTCATTCACCTTTCTTCTCTAAAAATTTTGCTAACCTTGTAAGTCAGTAAATTACATAGCTGACTTTCGTAGCTGACTTTCAGAGTCCATTACTGTATCACTATTACAATTTACTCAGAGAAAATTCTATAAGTGCAGAATAGACAATTTCTTCATGAACAAAAAGTTCAAAACAACAGACGTAAATATACAAGCTTCTTTACAGTTTGCTTTTCAACTTTGTCTCTTGCTTACCAAGGTTCATATACTAAATTAAATTGTATACGGTGCATGAAGACATCTAGTGGCTGAATGTTAACACTATTTACCAAAAACTACAAAGAAAGTTATGTTTTCAAATTTTTACTAAGCCTGCATTGGAGAAATCAAATTTATTTGTATGACCTATGAATTCAGTCTTTGTTTCAAACGTTCAAATAACGATCATTTGTGGCAATTACGCTCTTGAGAACTATACTGAGTTTTGCCATACTAATGGCATTTTCTTACCTCTTGAAATTTCAAGCAACAGATGGCACATACCAACATAAAATACCATAGAGTTAAAAACATTTATGAAATAATTTACAAGTCACCAAAAATATGTGCAATTTAGTTTCTAGTACAGCAAATATTTTAGGTATGGGAACCATGCTTTTTTTCTCCATTCTTCCCTCCCCCCCTTTCTCTCCCCACAATTTTTCCTCTTCATTTCCTATCCATTGTTTATATATCAAGGGGAAAAAAAGAGCAAAAATTAGAGAACTATGGAATGTAATTTCTAGTATTAAGCATATGTATTAAAAACAGTCTGAATTCACGTAGTTTTGATTATGCATGCATTTCTCTTGTGCAGACAGTTGGTGGGTGATATGTTTCCAAAAGTCTTTTGATAGCTAGAAACTTTTTATTTACAAAATAATTGGAAGGAGATTTTTAGAAATTGTGTGTAATTTAATTGAATTCACAATCAAATAAAAAATACAACTATGTTTTATTTTAGTAACCATTGTTCTATAGTGCCATTGGGTTATAGAAAGAAAATAATCACATAAGTTATTTTTGCTTCCTGACAGGTTGAAAAATCTTGTCAATGCACATGGAGGGAAACTTGAAGCATTTCAAGATGTAAATATCAAATTAAATAGACTGAAATACTTCATAAGAGGTCTTCATAAAAAGTCTTGCAAAAAAAATTTATATGCAGAAATACAGGAAAATAAGTAATGCAAAAAATATACACATTTGTAAAAACATTTACTTGATTGAACACTGGCTAATACTTTGCAATAGCATTCAGGACAGTAACTCACATTATCACATTAAACCTAATATGAAATTAGTTTTGCAATGTATTTTACCTTTCTTTCATTCACTTCATCATTTTGGCCTTCATATTCACCCTAGAGAAAGAAAATAATTTAGTAACTTACGTAAAAACAGATAAAAATCAAAAAACATTGCTCAGCTGTTCCTACATTGTTGATTTTACTTTTAGGTCACAATTTGAAATGTATTTATGTAAGAGGTTTCATGTTAGAATCACACACTTAGAATATATTTTCATTGTTACAGGCAATAAACATTAATTTGTTGCACTACCAAGTGATACCATCAGAGAACTAGATTTTTAATAGTATATACATACATCGTGAAGTGGGTACGCTGCATCATAAACATTGTTTGCTATTAATGTGCCAATACCTAAAAGAAAAAAAAATTAAGACAGTCAACAGCTTGGCACAGTTAAAGAGAAAAGATTATTACAGATTTCGTACATGGCATTACAAATGGGACTGAGCTGTATTGCTGAAAATATTCAAAATCGTGTCAAGATGAGTATATCCCAGGTGTCAGACATACCTGACTAGGGAAAACATGTTTTCAGAGAAAGGCTCATTTCCATATAGTGTTTTTGCCTGAGTGAACTAGTATGGTACAAAGACTGTTTTGACCACTTTCTCATCCTGATAGCAGAGGCATGCAACTGAGGAGGAAAGCATCTGGGAAGTCCTTCTTGAAGCTTGACAATGATCAGAAACATGGATTGCCACTGACACACTCAAACAATAATTAAAAAAACCCACTTACACAGAAGTTTGTGACTGAGGAAACCCTTACTCTCTATCAACTAATATTAGGTCAGGTCTCTTTCACTGAAACAAGTGCTGGATTTTGTACCCTTCCTCATATCAATACATAAAGCCATCCTTCCAAGTTTGAAATAACGCTTCTTTTTTTGCAGGAGTTAAATCAGTCTGTGCTCACCAAATCCATGGCTATGCTAGAAAGCTGGATGCACCAGGACAAAACCCACTGAGTCCTAAAAATTGCAAACAGGAAGTCTGGTGAAAGATACAGGAAGACACAGGGACATTGCACTATCTCAGTGACAGATACTACAAAGGCTTTAGGAACAGAATCCCCAGCTAATGACTACAGCACCTATAGACATACACAAGACTGGCTTCCAAGACCTACGACTCATAGCTATTCTGTCTTCAGTCTCTGCAGGTAAAAACAAATGTTCCATAAGATGACAATTAAAACTAAGATAAGTAGTTTATTCCAGACCTCTTTGCTTTCAATGCCAAGTAAAAAGTAACCAACTAGCTTGTCTTTAGGAATGAAAACAAATTTGGAGCCAAGTTACACAACTATCATTCTGAAATGTTCGGGAAAAAAACTCTGGTCATAGATGCTAGACAGGCATTACCAGTAAATTTCTTCCTTGGTGCAAAGACAAATACCCTCACCACTACGTGCATTAATAGAATTGGGAAATCTTTATGTTTGGATGCCAAGTCTTCTAACAAAAGCATTATGTTTGGAAAGTTTACAATGGTTCAGAGTTATACTAGAAGAAAACATGCCTTCCTGGTATAATGTCATAGAAGTGGAATCAGGTTCAGCCTTACCCACATGTAAAAATCAATAAGCAAATGTGTTTGAAATGTTGTTATTTTCCTGTTATATTATGAAGTATACATTTATGGAAACCAAAGACTACTATGAGTACTTCCAACTTCACTGTCCTACCTCTTGTGCAAAATAAGCAATGGAATCTAAAAGAAACAGAATAAAACCAGGATGTTTAAAGAAATCTTTTAAACCACTCATGATGAGTCTACATCTTCAGACCTGTGAGATGGAAAAACCTTAGTGACATATGAAGGACAGGACTATTGGGGGAGGATCTCAGGAGACCAAAACAATTAAGAATTTAGGGCAAATGTGACACATAATCATGTTTTGGCTATAGACTAGAAAGATGGGAAAGACAGGAGGGTTAAAATATTTGCTTCATGCCAAATGGGATATTGAGCTGACCTGAGCTTGAAGTGGATCAGACTGTAATTTCACCTTAGAGTAAACAAAAAAAAAGCCTGAAAAATCACTATTACTGTTTTGCTCTCTAATGATGGCTTTTACTACACTATAAACCAAAACAAGCTATTAAAATAGAAAAAAAAAAATTAATTAAGAGGCAAAAAAGCCCCATTGGTAAAGTGCTCCCTGCCTTCGTATTCTGTAGGATACATTGCTTCTTTCAAGCTTTCTGTCAGCCCACCAACATACAAAATCTTAAAAGTTCCAAGTTTAAACAGGTTCTAGACAGTCTCTCTGGATCCCTTGGGAAAGTCTCAGCTCAAGGGGCTGGCTTTTATGTCAACAAGGCTTAGCGTCCCGGCTGCACTTCAGGCTTCTTGTTTTATATACCTTACACTGCATGGTCTCTAAAATTCTGCACTCTAGAGACATCTACTTGCACAGACTCAACAGCTCTCAGGGAAAGCATCATCTCTGCAGCCACTGTGAGGGTTCCCTGGATGCCAGCTGGAGCAATCCAGCAAAATAAGGTAACATTCCTCTCCACTGCCCCACCAGAGCCTTTAAGCAGATCAAAACATAGAACAACACAGAGCAAACAATAAAGGAAACGGAGACCAGCTGAATAATGTCTAAGAAACAAAGAATGCCTAACATCTTCTCAACTATCTTTTCTTTTTTTGAAGGAAACAGTGTAATAATCATAAATTTAAATGTTTGTACTGGAAAAGCCAAGTATTTTTGGTTGAAAAAGAGAAAGTATTTTGGTTTGGGTTTTTTTCATATAATGTGGAAAAAAAAGTATCTCTATTTTAGTGAAACCTAAATTAATCTATTTTCCACTCCAGCTGCTGTACCAAAGAAATCAGTTACTGCAGCTTCACTGCAGAAAGTTACACCAAGACTGTGCAGGTATCTGTTGCTAATGGCACCCTTATTCTTTGCAAGTACATTACCCTAGGATGTTGTAATCTGCCCATAAGTGGTCAAGCTTACAGAAGGACTTCCAGAAAACATGCCAGACAAGGAGCACTATAGCTTCTTTGCCACCGGGGAGATATGTGTCATGATATCACAATGGATGAGGGAATAGAGGACAGAAAAAAAAAATAAGTACACCTGTATGTATTTTAAGCTGCAAGAAAATCAAACCTCCAAGTATTTCAGGGTTACCCCAAACATATCACACAATATCTTCAAAACAGTCGTAGTTAAGTCGTACATTTCACTATGCAGTTCATGGACATGATTTTTAAAGATGCAGTGATAAAAATAACCTGGAAAGATGTATTATTCTATTGAAATAGCAAGAAAAATCTGCTCCTGGAAGAAATAATACAACATATTGTAGCTGACATCTGAATTTTCAAAAGCAGATCATGTAATAATCAAACCAAATTTTATAACAACTCATGAAATGAAAGTTATGTGCCAGATCCTGAACCTGTAGAAACGAAAAGCAAGGTACCATTACCATGTCCTATCCAAACCATGGATCAGAAAGTCTGATTTTATTCCTCGGAAAAAACATTTGTTTCAATCTCTTTTTTATTTGTGAAAATCTGCCAGCATACCTTAGTGTTCTGCTAGAAAAATAAATATTCTGTGAGATACCTAAACAGTTCCTTTCAAAACAACATACGAAATTATCTTTCCTCCTTCTTACCCATGCTGTTTCTGGCCTTTGTAGACGTGCGCTTCAAAATTTCACGTACCTGTGGAAAAGAACACTGATATAACACACAAATCGTCTTTTAGCATTATTTTCATCACGGACCTAGCAATAAAACAAAACTTCAAAATAGAAGGCTTCTGTAGAGTTCACTTGCACGTACATTTAAATCATATGTTTCACTCATATACAAATTCATGACTTGAGGCCACTAGTTAATATTTAACAATGCTATGGCAAGTCTTACTAGTGGATTGTCTGTGCTAACATTTGTAGGCTAAATCCCATTGTGCCACATCCTTATAAAACTATATGAAATATAAGGACTTCAGGCAGAATGAGATTTTTACACTAAAGAAAATCACAACAAAATCTGACTTTGTAAAAAAAACATTTATCTTCTACATTTGGAAGTATAACATCAAGATCCACATAAAGTGATCAGAAGTATGCTGTAACTATGAAACACAAGTGTGTAAGGAAGAATGTAGTGTGTAAGTGGCATTGCATACACAGAGAAATCTTGCTTGAGCAACCTGCTGGAGACCTAGCAGGATCTCAGGAACATGACACAGGGTTTCTCACCAAAGACTGCTAGAGCTAGGAAGTTACTATAGGGTTGTAGAGGAGGTTCTTTTATGGAATAAAATCTAGTTAAAGATTAGGAAGTAGGGTTTACTAACAACTTTGAACAAGGGAGAGGAGTCAGTAGCAGCGTTTCCCTCCACAGAATCTCCTACTCCAGGATCACTGGCCAGCTCCAGAAGGGTATTTCTTACACATTTACGACTGCTTAGTGTTTTGCAGGAACAGAGAAACGCATAAACTGATTAAATTAGCAAAGTAGTCACCAACACCCACTATTAAAGCAAATCCCATTCAGCACAAGAAGTCAATGATGTTACTTTCGTTTACTTACTATTCGGCTGCGGGTAGCATTGTCAAAAAAGGTGTCTTTGTCTTTAATGTTATACCTAAAACGTCAAGAGAAAAAAAAATCAGTTATGTTTCCAGATATGGTAGTAATAAGTAAAAAAACATACAAGATTCTGATTTAGAGTTCATTTAGAAACTACAGCAAACAAGAAAAACGGATGTTTAAAGGAAATAAAGATGAAATAGACTGTTATTTAAGACCTAGTTAGTCAGTTCTACCTGGATTGCAATGATGATGGGCATAAAAATGCAAAAATCTTAATGTAAAATGCCTTTCGGGTAAGGAGAGCTTGTCTACAGTCTACAGAAGATGACCTTTTAGTCTTTTCCTTTTAACATACCCTCAACACTATAACATTCTGAGGTTATGTTACTAGGTTTCAACTAGCCTAATGCAGCTGTTCATTACTCTTTTCCAGGTGACAAATCAGTCAACATTTCACTTGTTTTCAAATAACCATCCCACTGGAATTATTCATTCCCTTAAACTTTAAAATTATCATATGTGAAATTAGCTTCCCAGTTTATTCGCCTCTATCAATTTAAGTTGTATATACTGTTAATTAAAATTGTCAGAGAGCACAATAAATTATGTGGTGGGTCATTATATTTATTACTGAATTTTATTTATCAGATGTAAATACAAGGAGACACCCATGAGGAAAAAATGAGTGTTTAATGTCAAAATGGGTCCAGAAATAATATTCTGAGTGAAAGGGCAGGTGTCAAGAATTCCTTATCTGCATATTGTTAGCCAAGTTTTAATTACTATAGTAAATCTATCAAGACAAAAGATAGTATCGGATTTCTACTAGCTCTTTCTTTTTTCAGAACAGGCAGTAATATCCTTAACCAAACAATGAGGAATTTGGTGGTGGGATTTTTACAGTTCAAGCTAAAAACATAGATATTTTACTTGTTGCACTGCTTAAATGCCTTATCCAGCAGAAGGAAGTAGAACACTGGCAGAAAGTCTCTGAAACTTAGATTTCTGTTAGTCCACTGAAACTGAACTCAGTGCTAACGCATCTTCATTTACTTTCAGTGTATTTACTTGGCCTTCAATAAACTTAGTTTTATGCAGACATATGCTTTTATCACTTGGAAATATTATCCAGGAATAATTGGACAACTTGGATATTTCCTCAGCATTTCCAGAAATGCTCACTGAATTTCTGAATTTTTATTGAAATACTGGTAGTAAAAAATTACAACAGCAAAACGATGCTATAGCTTTCTTCATTGCTCGTCACAATTTAAAGTACTTACAAATATATTTTCTCCCTGGAAAATGGGTAAGACAGGCTTTTCATGTTGGTATTTCCTTGTTGTGGCACCTGGGGTTGCAGAGGTTCAGTCAATTTGCACCATATTTCATTTAACTTTTTGAGTATTCCCCCTTCTTCTGTGATTTCATACATCTGAGTAAAAAAAATATTGTACATTAGCAGGTCAATTCCAAAAATCCATTAAAATAAAAGGCAGAATTTGCTATACACATATGTTTAATTCTGAAATTAAAATAAGCATGTTCTCTGAAGCTATATTCCCATATAACAGCAAGCACCTGAATCCGTAAAGGGTTTCAGTTCCAAAAAGTTCTTGTCCTTCACAAACTACTTCCAGCAGAAAACTGTGCAGAATTTTGAATAAAAGAGACATCCTTACTAACTAAACTAGGAGCTGCAGAGAGATGGTGGAAAAGCAGTGTAATTATTTTGGCTTTATAACTGGGAAGAGAGGGAGCAGACAAAGAATGAAGGGCCTTTACCTACTGCCAATTATACTTCCCCAGCAGAATAAATTATTCTTGGGAAATAATTGCTAGTATGGTCTGACAGCACAAGACACATGCCACTAGAAGATGCTAGGCTCGCGGCTATGTGGCAGTTTTAAGTGCAAGGACCTAGTTTTTGCTGATTCAGATTGATGTGAAGTGCTAAGGAGCTTCTCAGAGACATGAAGGTATTTTTTTGTGAAACACAGACAACCTTACCAAACATGAGTTTATGTCCTCCTCACAGGACATTGCTCTCAGCCCTTTCAACAGCTTTGTTGCCCTCCTCTGGACACATTCAAAGACCTTAGCATCCTTCTTAAATTGTGGGTCCCATAATCGCACACAGTACTCAAGGTGAGACTGCACCAACATTGAGTGCAGCAGGATAATCACCTCTTCTGACTGGCTAGTTATGCTGTGTTTGAAGCACCCATGGATGTGATTTGCCCTCTTCGCTGTCAGGGCACACTGATGAATCCTATTGAGCCTGCTATCGACCAGCACTCCAAGGTCCCTCTCTGCAGGGCTGCTCTCCAGCCACACCTCTCCATTGTGCCCAGCGTTACTACACTCCAGGTGCAGAATCCAGCATTTGCTCTTGTTCAATTTCATGCTATTGATTATTGCCCAATACTCCAGTCTCTCTAGATGTCTCTGCAAAGCCTCTTGTTCCAGAGAGTCAACAGCACCTCCTAGTTTAGTGTCATGAGCAAACTTGCTAATGGTGAATTCAACTTTTGCATCCAAATCGTTGATAAATATATTGAACAGAATTGGCCATAGAATTGAGTCCTGCCGAGCACCGCTGGTGACAGGTCTCCAGCCAGATGTAGCTCCATTCACTACAGCCCTTTGAGCCCTGCCGAACGCTGCTTGTGACTGGTGACCAGCCAAACACAGCTCCATTCACTACAACCATTGGAGCCCTGCTGTTCAACTAGTTCTTCACCCAGTGCACCATGCACCTGCTCATCTCACAACTTGTCCAGAAGGATACTGTCAGGGACACTATGAAAAGCTTTACTAAAATCCAGAAAAAATTACATCTACCAGCTTCCCATCATCCACTAGGCAGGAAACCTTATCGTAGAACACCATAAAATCAGTTAGACAGGACCAACCCTTCGTGAAACCATATTGACTGTGGCTGATGATTGCATTGTCCCTTAAATGCCTTTCAATACCACCTGGTATGACCTTCTCCATAATTATTCCAGGTACTGAGGTTAGACTAACAGGTCTGTGATTTCTGGGTCTTCTCTCTCACCCTTTTTGTAAATTGTAATAATGCAGGACATTACAGACCTGTTAGTCTAACCAGTCAACAGGGACATCCCCAGCCTCCCAAGATCTTTGGCAGATGATTGAAAGGATCCTGCTGTAACATTTGCTAACTCCTTAGGTACTCTGGGATGAATCCCATAATGCCCCATGGATTTACGAACATTCAGCTCGTACAGATAGTCCCTTAGAAATTCAGTGTCCACAAATGAAAAGTCATCAATCCCACAGCTGTGGTCCTCCAACTGAGCAGACCAGGCAGCCCAAGGTCTATCAATAATATTAAAGACTGAGGAAAAAAAGGCATTGAAGGCCTCCACTTTTTCTTCATCCTTATTTGTCAGGTTATCATCTTCAACAAGTATTGGTCCAATATTACCCTTAGACCTCCTCTTGCTATTAATACACTTTAAAAAGCCTTTTTGTTGTCTGACACAACACTGGCCAGTTTCAACGCTAGCTGAGCTTTGCTCTTTCGTGTTTTCTCCCTGAATATGTGAACTACAGCACGATAACCTTCCTGCAAAGCCTGACGTTGCTTCCAGAGATGGTACAATTTTTCTTCTTGAGCTCCATGAGGAGTTCCCTGTTCAGCCAAGATGGTCTTCTGCCCTGCTCGCTTGACTTATGACACGCTGGAATTGCCTGCTCCTATGCTTTTAAAAGATTATTCTTAAAAACTGACCAGCACTCATGGACTCCTAAGGCCCCAAAAGCAGATTTCCAGGGGACACTGCTAACTAGTTCCCTGAGTAGATTAAATTTTGCTCTCTTGAAATCTAGAGTAACAACTCTGCTGTCCTTTCCCTTTACACTTAAAATTTTAAAGTCAATGATTTTGTGATCACTGTGGCCACATCATATTGCCCACAAGTCCTTCTCTATTCACAAATAACAAGTCTAGAAAGCTGTCTTTCCCTGTTGGCTCACCAAGCACTTGTGACAAGATGTTGTCTTCAACACTCTTCAGGAATTTCTCAGACTTGCTTGTCACAGCCCCATGTGTAGTAAGTTGAAATCTTCCATAAGGACAAGGGCTACTGTCATAGTTTGAGCCTACCCAGCTGGAAGTTCGCCCCTACCAAGGCTTGAGGATCGAGACAAAGGACAGGGAGGGCTCACTCACCAGTTATGGTCATGGGCGAGAGACAGACTCAACTTGGGGATAACAACACACACTTAATACAAAACAACCACCATCATCAAGGATAATGAGAGATACAACCAGGTCTCAAATACAATACACCTTCACCCTCACCACCCCTCCGGTCTTCCCGGGCTCA